CTATACATTGACCTGCAGAATTACGACGGATGAAGCAAGTACGGTCTGAATGGCACTGAACAAAGCCCACGGAGATGATGACTGAGTTGAAACGACCAAACCAAGCTCGTGGAGACTACTTTAAGCCATACAAAGACTTGCGCAGTCGACATACTTGCCCCGAGTACTCCCCCACAGCTCAAAAATCTGGAGGAGGTGCCATATAAATCATCTCAAGAAGATCCCCATGTAGAAAGGCATTCTTGACATCAAGCTGATAAAGAGGCCAAGAATGGGATGTGGCAAGAGAGATGAGGAGATGAACAAAGGTAAGCTTGGCAACTGGTGCAAAGGTAGCACCAAAATCCTTGCCAGGAACTTGAGTGAAGCCCTTGGCCACTAAGCGGGCCTCATAACGGTCAATGGAGCCATCAAGTAGGTACTTAATAGCAAAGACCTATTTGCAACCCACAGTACTCTCGTCAGAAGGTAAAGAAACCAAATCCGAAGTATGATTTGTTAGAATGTATTAGGAATGTTAGCATATATTAGGAATATTTCCTATTTCATCTTTATGTATATTTAGTGTCTTTATTTATGCCTTAGAGAGCTCCTGTATTTTGGCTAATGATCTAATATAAAAGGGGATGAGATAGGACTCATACCTCTTTTCTCTTCTCAAAACTAACATGGTATCAAAGCCTCTCTAAAAATAAAGAGGAAAAAAAAATAATAAAAAGAAAAACAAACCCTAGCCACGACAGCACCACCACCACAGCACAACCACCACAGCACCGCCACCCTAGCCACAGCCCCCCTTCGGGCTTCGCCAGCACCAGCGATCTTTTCTAGGGCTTCGACAATCCCAGTCAAAACCACCTAGGGCTCTGTCAGCCACAGTCGGCTCGTCGGAGCCTTCTTTCTCCAGCCTAGGTTTGTTGGTTGGCTTGGCGACCCTAGGTATGCACTGACCTACCTCATTCGTCTTCATCTCTTGGTCCTCGTACATCTCTCTCTGTCTTCGTCATACATCATGATGTAAATCTTTCTTCTTAATCTCTCTTCTTCTTCTTCATCTCTCTGTCTGTCTTTGATTACCTGTCTATCTTCGTAAACAGCAACAAAAACAAAAAACAAAAAATGCTCTCTTAAATTCATTCGTTTAAATTCATTGGTATATTCTCCCATTTTCCAGGTTTGTGATTCATCCAGGGTTTGTTAGTGAAGGTTCCGTCGCAAAGTCTTCATGGCCGAATTGACTAGTGAGTCAACTACTTCGCTGCCTGCTACACAGGGCGCAAGTCCTGTTTTGACTACTACAATGACTAATTCTCTCCACCCTGGCCAGAAAATCACCACCTCTCTCTTTAATGGTCAGAACTATCTAGCGAGGTCGTAGAGTTTGACTATATTTTTGAAGAGCAAAGGGAAAATGAGATATGTTGATGGGCGAGTTCAGACTCCCAGTATTACTGATGCAGGTTATGATCAGTAGATTATTAATTCTCTTATCATGGGCTGGTTGATACACTCCATGGTTTCGGAGATTGGTGAGGGATACTTGTCTATGGACACAGCACAGGATATTTGGGAGGCTGTGGCCGCTACGTATTCCCGCAAAGGCAATTTCTCACAGACTTTTGAGTTGCGACGCTCCATTGACCGGTCCGTTCATGGTGAGATGACTATTCTCCAGTATTTTACTTTCCTTAATAATGGTGGAAGAGACTTGATCATCTTTAGGACTACAAGCCTGTCTGTCCCACGAATTCCGTTGGTTACCGAAAATTTGTTGAACAAGTGCGGGTCTTCAAGTTCTTGAAAGGTTTGAATGTGGAGTTTGATTCTGTTCGAAGTCATGTGCTTGGTATGGATGCGCTTCCTTCTCTCCAAGAAGCATTTGCTTATATGTAAAATGAGGAGAGTCAGTGTTCTGCTATGCTTCCGGCTGCCTCTTCTAATTAGTCTGCCATGATTTCTGCCCCCACTCAAGGTGGGGATCGTGGTTCCCGTCCTCCTTTTGAGAAGGATACCCTCTTCTGTGATTTTTGTCGTCGCCTCCGCCACACTCATGAGACTTATTGGAAGTTGCATGGGCAGCCATCTGGGGGTCGTGGAGACTGTTCTGATTCTTGAGGGGGTTGCTTTGGTCAGTCTCACGGCCGAGCACCCAATGCCAGAGCCCATCATTCTGATACAGTTGAGCCATAGTCCACCGCTCCAGTTGATCCATCTACTAATATCTCTGAGTTTTCTACTTCTGAGTTGGAGGTTGCTCTTCCCCACTTGCTTGATTGTTGGGCATCTAGTTCATCTTCAGGTAACATTGCCCTTTTAGGTAACTTAGCCTCTTCTACAAGTGCTTTCCTCTCTCATCAAGCATAGCCTTGGATTATCGATTCTGGTACTTCCAACCACATGTCCGGGTCTTCTGAATTGTTCTCTGCATACACCCCTTCTTCAGGACAGGATAAAGTTCGTATTGCTAATGGTAGTATTTCTTTTGTGTTTGGGAAAGGTTTAATTCATGCCACTGCGTCTCTTCCTTTATCTTCCATCCTACATGTTCCTAATTTTAGTGTTAATCTTTCATCTTTGAGTCGTATTACTCGGGACTTAAATTGTAGTGCGATCTTTTTTCCTGATCATTGTCTATTTCAGGACCTTATCACGAGGAAGATGATTGGCAGTGGTAGAAACGCGAATGGTCTCTATATCCTAGATCAAGCAGACAAGCTGGCTCATTCCTCCATTCTGTTACCATCTACCAAGGAAGACCTATGGCTGTGGCATCGTCGTCTTGGGCATCCATCTTTTTTGTTACTTAAGCATCTTTTTCCTTCAATTGTTTTGAAAAAAAATATTTATGAGTTTCACTGTGAGTCGTGTCAACTTGGAAAACAACACAGAGCTTCTTTTGCTCCTTTTATTAATAAAATTTTAGTCCATTTTTCATTAATTCATTCTGATGTTTGGGGTCCCTCTCGTTTTCTGTCTTTAAATGGTCAAAGGTGGTTTGTCACCTTTATTGATGATTGTTCTAGGACCACCTGCGTATATCTTATGAAGGATAAATGTGAGGTTTTTTCTGTGTTTCAAAATTTTCATAAAATGATTTGCACTCAGTTTGGGGCGGTTGTCAAAATTATGCATTCTGAAAATGGGGGGGAATATATTGACTTAGGCCTTGCTAGCTATTTTGCCACTCATGGTATTATTCACCAAACTTGTACCAATACCCCTCAACAGAATGGTGTTGCCAAGCGTAAAAACCGCCATCTTCTTGATATTGCACGTTGTCTGTCCTTTGAAATGCGTGTTCCTCGATCATATTGGGGCGAAACTGTTCTCACTGCAGCCTTTCTCATCAATCGTTTGCCTACCCAAGTTCTCAACAAACACACTCCTCTTCAGGTTTTGCTAGGTTCCTCCTCTTCTAGTTTCTCCATTCCTCCCAAAACCTTTGGGTGTGTGTGCTTTGTTCATAACCATTCTCCTTCTCGTGGTAAGTTGGTTCCTCAGTCTCTTCGTTGTGTCTTCCTGGGTTACTCTGCCACCCAAAAGGGCTACAAGTGTTATCATCCACTCTCTTGAAAATCGTTTGTCTTTATGGATATGTCTTTCTTTGAGTCTCAGTCCTACTTCCTGTCCTCACCAGTGTCCCAGTCATCCCTTCCGGGGAAGCCTTGGTGTGAAAAGATTCTTGTGTCACTACAGAGATTCCTGTATCACTACCATCAGTGATTGAGCAGGATGTTAAGGGTGACTCAGCTATTGAGACTGTTGAGTCTGAATCTGAATCCATAGTAAAAGATGGCAAAGTTTATGTCAGGGACAAGGATAGAAAACAAGTTACTTGGTTACAAGAGACCAATGCGAATTCTCCACTGCTATCTTCTCCTTCTGATGAGTGTCCAGAATCCTCTTCTGCTGATGAACCTCTAGGTACCTCTATTCTTTCTGATCTAGATGTTCCCATTGCTCATAGAAAGGGGGTTAGGTCTTACACTCAGTATCCTATTTCTCATTTTGTCTCCTATACTAATCTGTCTTCTTCCTATAAAGTTTTCCTGTCTAAAGTTTCTTCTTTGAGTCTTCCTTCTTATTAGGATGCTCTTTCTACTCCTGAGTGGAAGCATGCCATGATGGAAGAGATTAGAGCTCTTGCAAAAAATGACACTTGGGAAGTGGCTGAGTTACCTAAGGGCAAACTACCTGTTGTATGTAAGTGTGTGTAGACTGTGAAGCACAAAGCCGATGGTTCAATTGAACGTTACAAGGCAAGATTCGTGGCCAAGGGCCTTACTCAGACTTATGGAGTAGACTACCAGGAGACATTTGCACCGTTGCTAAGATAAACTCTGTCAGAGTCCTTCTCTTCCTTGCCTCTAATCTCGACTGGCTTCTCCATCAATTTGATGTGGAAAATGCTTTCCTCCATGGAGATCTAGAAAAAGAAGTGTACATGGACATTCTCCCAGGCTTTGAGGATGTTAAAACCAAAGGAAAGGTGTGCCGATTACGCAAGTCACTTTACGTAGTCTCCTAGGGCTTGGTTTGAGAGGTTTACTCAGGCCATGTTGAGATATGGTTTCCAACAGAGTCAAGCTAATCATACTTTGTTTATGAAACACTCCTCACATGGTAAGGCAACAACTCTTATTGTCTATGTGGATGATATTGTACTCATAGGGGATGATGTTGAGGAGGTTCCTCGGTTAATGGAGTATTTGGCCAATGAGTTTGAAATCAAAGACTTAGGCAGCTTGAAGTATTTTCTAGGGATTGAGGTTGCTTGGTCCAAAGATGGCATCTTCATATGTTAACGAAAGTATGTACTTGATTTGCTAAAAGAAACGGGAATACTTGGAAGTAAAGTCTATGATACAATACTAGAGACCGGATTAAAGCTTGGTGAGGATCCAGACGGCGAGCCTGTAGACAAGGGAAGATACCAGAGACTAGTGGGTAAGCTGATCTACTAATCCCATTCGGGTCCTGATATTGCTATTTCAGTAAGTATGGTTAGTCAGTTCACGCATGCTGCTCGTGCAACTCACTTAGAGGCGGTTATGCGGATTCTGAGGTACTTGAAATCTTCTCCGAGAAAGGGTCTCTATTTCTCAAAGCATGGTCATCTTAGTGTGGAGGCATATACAGATGCTGATTGGGCTGGATTAGTCACTGATAGAAGATCCACCTCTGGCTATTATACCTTTGTCGGAGAAAATCTAGTTACTCGGAGAAACAAGAAACAAAATGTTGTTGCGAGGTCTAGTACAGAGGCCGCATTCAGAGCTATGGCCCAAGATGTGTGTGAGCTTTTATGGATTTGATTGTTCTTGCGGGATTTGGGGATTCATCAGACAGATTCTATGAGGCTAGTTGGTTTAGAGAAGAGAAGGAATTAGGGAATGAGTTAGACTTCATTCCTTTTTATATTAATAATTAAGTAATCACAGGTAACTAAAAAGGAATAAGAATACAATCCATTATTTCCTATTCTAATATTTCCTATTCTAACACTCCCCTCAAGCGGGTGTGAAGATATCTTGCATGCCCAACTTGTTGAGAATGCCATGAAAGGATTTGCTCCCTAGTCCCTTGGTGAGAAGATCAACTAGTTGGTCTCCAGTCTTCACAAATGGAATACATATAGTGCCACTAGTGAGTTTTTCCTTGATAAAGTGCCTATCAATCTCCACATGCTTAGTTCTATCATGCTGAATTGGATTATGAGCTATGTTGATTGCGGCTTTGTTGTCACAGTATAGTCGCATGGAGTTAGTCTGTTGCATTCCCAAGTCTCCCAACAATAGTTTAATCCATAGTAACTCACATACCCCTTGAGCCATAGCCCTGAATTCTGTCTCAGCACTAGATCGAGCAACCACATTCTATTTCTTACTTCGCCATGTGACTAGGTTGCCACCAACAAATGTGCAGTATCCAGAAGTGGATTGTTTGTCAGTGACTGATCCTGCCCAATCTGCATCAGTAAATGCTTCCACACTGAGATGGCCATGTTTTGAGAAGTAAAGACCCTTTCCAGTAGAAGACTTCAGGTATCTCAGGATTTTCATAACTGCCTCTAAGTGGGAAGTTGTAGGTGCATGTATAAACTGTCTAACCACGCTCACTGCAATGGCAATATATGGACGTGAGTGGGATAAGTATATGAGCTTACCCACTAGTCTCTGATATCTCCCCCTGTCCACTGGCTCTCCCTCTTGATCCTCTGGCCTGGTTCTAGAGGTGTATCACATAGTCTACCTCCAAGCATCCCAGTTTCCTTTAGCAAGTCAAGTACATACTTTCTCTGGCATATAAAGATACCATCCTTGGACCTAGCTACTTCAATGCCCAAGAAATACTTCAAAGTGCCCAAGTCTTTGATTTCAAACTCTTTGGCTAAGTAGTTCTTCGACCGAGGGATCTCCCCAATGTCATCACCTGTCAAAACTATGTCATCAACATAAACGATAAGAGTTGTGGTCTTACCAAGTGAGGAGTGTTTCACTAATAAGGTGTGATCAACTTGACTTTGCTTGAACCCATATCTCAACATAGCTTGAGCAAACCTTTCAAACCAAGCCCGAGGTGATTGTTTTAGCCCATAAAGTGACTTCTGAAACCTACATACTTTACCGTTGGACTTGGCATCTGTAAACCAAGGAGAATATCCATGTAGACCTCTCCTGCTAGGTCTCCATGAAGGAAGGCATTATTCACATTAAACTGCTGAAGTGGCCAATCCAAATTTGCTGCAAGAGATAGTATTCTCACAGAGTTCATCTTAGCCACTGGTGCAAATGTCTCTTGGTAATCTACCCCATCAGTCTGAGTGAAGCCCTTAGCAACTAGTCTTGCTTTATACCGTTCTATGGAACCATCGGCTTTGTGTTTTACAGTGTACACCCACTTACACCAAACTGGATTTTTTCCTCCACGTAACTCCACCACCTCCCAAGTGTCATTCTTACTGAGAGCTCTCATCTCCTCCATCATGGCATGTTTCCATTCAGGAATAGAGACAGCATCCTGAAAATTGGTAGGTAGACTCACAGAAGACACTTTAGACAAAAAGGCTTTATATGAGGAAGATAGATTAGAATAAAAGACATGATTACTAATAGGATACTGAGTACATGACCTAACCCCTTTCCTATTAGCAATGGGAACATCAAAATCTGAACAATCATGAATATGAACACAAGAATCAGAATTACCTGGACCCTCATGAGAGTCGGGTGGCTCTGGACACTCATCAGGAGAAGTTGGCAGTAGAGGAGGAAAAGTAGCCTCTTGCATCCAGGTGACTTGTTGTCTGTCTTTATTCTTGATATAAACTTTGCCTGCGTCCTTTTCCTCAACAATTGTGGGCCGATCATCCTCTATCTGGGCAACCACTGGTGGAAGGGGAACAGGAATCTCTTCACACCAAGGCGCCCCCTGAAGGGAGGACTTTGAGACCAGGGAGGACGGAAAGTAAGACTGAGACTCAAAGAAAGTGACATCCATTAAGACAAACCATTTGTGAGTGGGAGGATGATAACAGTTATAACCCTTTTTGGTGGCAGAATAACCCAGGAAGACACTTAAGAGACCTAGGATCTAATTTACCACGAGTGGGGGAATCATTATGGACAAAACGAACACAGCCAAAGGTCTTAGGAGAAATAGAGAACCCGAAAGAGGTAGAGTCGGACAAAACTTGAAGAGGAGTCTGTTTGTGAAGGACTTGGGTAAGAAGACGATTAATCAAACAAGCGGCAATGAGAACCACTTCCCCTCAATAAAAATGAGGAACCCACATATCAAAGGATAGACAACGGGCCATATCGAGGAGATGGCGATTTTTCCGTTCAGCAACACCATTTTGTTGATGGGTATTTTTCCGTTCAGCACGAAGTTTGGTGTATAATCCCATGAGTGGCGAAGTAATCGGCAAGACCAAAGTCAATATATTCCCTCCCATTATCAGAACACAGAATATGGACAACCACCCCAAACTGAATACAAACCATCTTATGAAAGTTTTGAAACACAGAAAATACCTCACTCTTATCTTTCATCAGATAGACCCAAGTGGCCCGGGAACAATCATCAATGAAAGTAACAAACCATTTTTGACCTTTTAAAAACACAAAACGGGATGGACCCCATACATTAGAATGGATCAAAGAAAAAGAAACTGAACTTTTATTAATAGACAGAGCAAAAGAAGCTCAGTGTTGTTTTCCAAGTTGACATGAGTTGCGTTGAAAATCAGACACATTATTTTTCTCAAAAACAGAAAAAAATAAATGCTTAAGTAATAAAAAAGAGGGATGTCCTAAGCGACGGTGTCACAGCCAAATGTCGTCCTTGGTGGATGGTGACTGGATAGATGCATGAGCCAGCTTGTCTGTCTGATCCAGAATGTAGAGACCATGTTCTTCTCTACCACTACCAATCCTCTTCCTCGTGATAAGGTCCTGAAAACAACAATGATCAGGAAAAAACGTCACACTACAATTTAAATCACGAGTAATACGACTCAAAGATAAGAGATTAACACTAAAATTGGGAACATGGAGTACAGAGGACAAAGGAAGAGAAGAGGTGGCATGAATTAAACCTTTCCCTGACACAGACGAAATAGTACCATCAGCAATACGTACTTTTTCCTGACCTGAGGACGGGTTATACTTAGAGAATAAATTAGAGGAGCCAGACATATGGTCGGAAGCACCAGAATCAATAATCCACGGTACAAATGTATAAGATAGCAATGCACATGGGGAGGCAGCCAAGTTACCTGAATTGTCAAAGGAAGAAGAAGGGGCACCTGTAGCAAAAGTGGAGGCTCGACAGTCTAACAAGTAGCGCAGAGCAATCTCAAAATTCGAGGCAGATAACCCCGAGACATCAGCAGCAGGGGAAACAACCAGAGATGTAGATGGTGGCTCAACAGTGTCTAATAGATGAGCCCGAGCATTGGCCCCGCGGCCTCGAGACTGGCCAGACCTACCCCCTCGAGTACCAGGACAGTCTCCTCGGCCACCAGAGGGGGTCCCATGCAGCCTCCAACACGTCTCTCGTGTGTGTCGAGATCTACAGCAGTTGTCACAGAACAGATAATCCTTCTCGGAGGAAGGACGAGAACCACGAGTATCGCGAGGAGGTACAGAAACCAAGGCTGAGCAATCTGTAATAGCAGAAGGAAGCATCACAGGGCGGCGACTCTCCTCATTCTACACAAAAGCAAAGGCTTCCTGAAGAGAAGGAAGCACATCTATGCCAAGTATTCTGCTCCGAACCGGATCATACTCCACATTTAGGCCTTCCAAGAACGTGAAGACCTGCTCTTGTGCCACAAACTTCCGGTAACCAGCAGAATCAGTGGGACAGACAAGCTTGTAATCCTGAAGGTGATCATGCCGCTTCCACCCATTGCTAAGGAAGGTAAAATACTGGAGGATAGTTTGCTCACCTTGTACCGACCTTTCAATGGATCGACGTAACTCGAAAGCCTGTGAGAAGTTTCCCTTTCTAGAATAAGTAGTGGCTACGGCCTCCCAAATATCCTGGGTAGTGTCCATAGACAAGTAGCCCTCTCCAATCTCCGGAACCATAGAATGGATCAACCAGCCCATAATCAGAGAATTAGTGATCTCCCACTGGTCATAATGAGGGTCGGTGATACTGGGTGCCTGAACCCTCCCATCTATATATCTCATCTTGCCTCTACTCTTAACAAAATAGTCAGACTCTGCGACCATGCGAGGAAGTTCTGACCATTAAATAGAGAGGTGGTGCTTTAAGGTCAGAGTCGAGGTTATCAGTCATAAGAGAAGGGATAACCGAATTCGCACCCTGAGATGGCTGAGAGGTAGTAGGTTCACTAGTCAAATCTGCCATGGAGACTCTACGCACTAGTTCTCAACCACAAGGCCAATCACAAACCCGAAAGATGAGGTTGGAGGAAGGCTGGAGGAATAAGTACAAGAAGAACTAAAAAAGCATAAAGAATTTAAGAAACCAGTTTTTTTTTTTTTTTTTTTTTTTTTTTCAGAAGAGAATACAAAAATAATAGAATAAAATAAAAAAAGTGTGTAGGAATCAACCAATACAAAGGACCAAGGTAGATGAAAGGAGTCAAACAGGAGAGTTGAAGTCGAAGATGGCAACAAAGTCCTACGCAGACTGGAAGCTAGTCAACGAGGACCCAGATGGCCAAAGGGAGTGTCGATGAGGGCCCAGATGGCCAAAGGGAGAGCCGACAAAGGCCTATGACGCCAGAGGGACTGCCGACAACCCCCTAGGAAGCCAAAGGGACTGTCGACAGCCCCCT